CCATTTTTGGAACATTGGCATTTCCAGTATACAAAATGCAAGTGTCGTCTTCAACAACATTTATCGAGTGTAAAATGGGAATTGCTTCTGTTATCTGACGAGAACGGTTTGGCAACTTGAAAGGGCTTCAAAAACTATAAATATAGAAAAGAATGTGTGAAAGACATGTTTATTCAATGTATGTGTTACGTGGCAGTCAGCGCTTCACAATCACAAGCCGTGGTAAGCTGCAAAGCAATTCTTGTGCAGCCGCTTTTCGCACTGGTGGCATTTGTTGGTAGTGTTTTTCTTTCGCTTTCTTTTTGCACTCCGCGCATGTTCCTTGTGTAGCTGAGACAATGTAGTGACCGTCAGTCTTCCTTTCCGCGATGCTGAGACGAACCCGAGGTCCAGGCCGCAGGGCGAGTTTCTGCTTCAGGTGGAGCTGGGACATGGCGACGTCCCACCTAAAAGCTAGGTGCGTCATGGTGGCATGTGTGCCCTTGTGATGTTCTCAGTGAAGGATCCATCCTGCGACTACAGTCATGTTGTGAACATTCCTGAAAAGATTCAACCACCACTTTTTGCTTCGAAGCCTTGGGCGGTAGCTACCAAGGAGGCGGTCCATAAAATCCACACCTCCCATGCCTTCGTTATATTTTTTTTACTGATATGGTTGCGCAATGTCGAACCTTTTTCTTGCAGCGTCATGAAAAGCCCTTTGCAGTACAAACAGGTTCATGACTGAGATGGTTAGAGGCAACTGTGACCACCGCGTCGTCGTGCCATCCACATGCGTATAACACACCGTCAGACTTGTAGTCAAAAGCTCCTCTCGATCCTCTTTTGCGATGACTTTCTGGCTCCTCAGCGGACAACTACCAGTTCTTGTTTCTCGTACAGTCCCCGTCGCTCTTATTACTTCGTCAGCCAGTTTCGTCAGGATACCGTAAGAGGTGAAAACGTTGCCGAAATAGACCTCATATTGCTCAGGGCTAAACAGGACAGATACCATGTTGCTAACCACCCTAAGCCCGAGGAGAGGTCTTATCTTTTTCCTTTCTTCCGCAATATATCTTCATCACATAGGGATATCCATTCGGAGAGCACATCATCCATTTCTTATGGCCAAATCTGAGGGGCTTCCCGCGTATGAACATTTTGCAGGAGTGGTGGCCATAATAGGGCACCATGGACTCGTCGACGCTGAGGCTTTCGTGGAACACTCCAAACTGGAGCAAACGGCAAGGAAAGCTGCCATTCAAGCTTCTGCCAACCACCTCAGAGGGGCCGCTACCAACAAAACTAAAAACTATGTTGAAGTGCAGGCTCCAGTTTACGTTGAATTTTGCTACTGTGAAATGCCAATGTTCCAAAAACGGAACGTTTGCAAAAAAAAAACAAAAAAAAAAACTCAATGCTAGTAAGAGACGGAAAGGCTTTGGTTATTTATTTTTTTATCACATAATCGCCAATTATTTTCCTTTATTTTAAATCTGCTTTGCTCATTTGAACGCCATTTTTTCTTGCGAAATGACGCAACCCACAATTGACTGTGAAAAAACACAAAATACGTCATTTCACAAGCACTGATTCAAAGTTTTAAAATGACAAATAGCAGAAGCTAAAATTTCGGTGTTTTCCACAGTCATTAAACAGTATCCGAAAAAAAAAATTAAAAACAAAGCTATATACCGAAAAAGAACAAAAAAATTGAGTTTCACACGTTCCAATTTTGGAACATTGGCAAGTAAAAGGTTAAAACAAAGAGCTGCGCCGGCATTTGTTAGAACGTTCGCTTTGCGCGTGTAGGGTATGTTATATTTATATCAGCAATTTTCGGTTTCACGAATGTTTGTAAATTGAGGTTAGCTATTGATACTTAAACGCGCCGAATAATTTCTGGCACAGCACAAATATTTTAGCCCAGACAGAAATACAAAATTTCAAACTTCGTCATAATTTTTAAAAACTGAGATTGCTTGAAATTATACGTCTGCTGAAATAACAAACTTCGCTTTTAACTCTCTTTTCTTAAGTGCGTGTCTGTGTTCATGAGTGTGTACCAGTACTAAGGCCGCGGCTGTTTCTGGACTCAATCAAACAAGCAAAAATAAAGAAAATAAATAAAGGAATACCTGAATATTGGTAATATTTTCCAGTCTCTATTTTTATATAACACTCGGGCGAATTTATAACACCTGAATTATAAAGTAGAGATGTTTGAATGGAATGTTGCCTTAATGAAGCTTTTCTAGAATGGTTGAGGGTTTCGAATTTTTTAATATACAGTTTTGTGACATAGTTTTAACCAAATCTAAAAGCCATATCACGCATGTTTTTTGTTTCATACAACAGAGAACTTTATAGTTACTTCTTTGTTTACTCCAAGATACATATCTGACAAGATACATATTCTTTAGCCAAAAAAATACCAATTAAATTTATCTATTAATGGGATGACTTTTCCTAAATAAATAACGCGACTAAAAGCAACACCGTCAAAATCCCAGAACAATTATTTCAAGAAAACAAAAAGTAGAATTAAAACAGCTCGTTTGGAGCTTTTCTGAAAATCGGCAATATAGTTTATACGTCTTTGACTGAGAAATAACCGTTTAGTAAAGCATACTAGAGGTGACGGCTTCCCAATGACGGCAATAAAAAACACTAGTTATATACTTACAAGTCAAATAAATCAAAATTAATTTCCTGGTTGTCACTTGCAGCTTTGAAAAGAAGTGTAAAGAGTATCCTTCACTTACTTATCAGATATCGCTTTGCGAAAAACCAGAAATGAAAAGTCGGCACTTTCCATAATTTCGCGAAGAGGTAAAAGTGATGTTGTATACTTGAAAACAAAAGGCAGGAGTCTGCTTCAATTTCTTGCAAAACGTCCACGAAGTGTGTTTTTTATCTGTTCATCACTTCGGTTACTAGAGCGTTTCCAACAGAACTCAGATAACCTTGATATAACAAATCCTGTTATGCTACTGTTTAAAAAGTTCATCTCGGTCTACAATTGCATGTATAGCTTCGAGAAGCTGAATGGCCAATTATGCTATCAGGTGTATGTTTGCAGTTGTTTCAGCTCTTATAAGTTACAGCATCTTCGCGCACGACGCGCGGGTTTGACGTATAGCCTTTTTCAAAAGTTGAGACATCAGCGCGCGCGTTGCCGGAGCGGACTCGCCTTGATAACAAAGTGGTTCAAAATAGCGAGAGCGAAGTTCCCCATCATTTTCGAAAATCTCGCAGCCAGCGAGTGCCGATGATAAGAGCGCTGCTGCACGGAAGCGAGTTATACGCGCGGAGGGCTTTAAACTTTTAAAAACGACTGTACATATTCGAGAACTAGAACTCCCTGTTCTGATGCGACAGTGTCCAGATTCACCTTTTGTGTATCGGAGCTTTGAAAGTGTGCATAAAATAATAACATCATATTTTTTAAAGATTGTAGTTTTTAGAACTTGCACGGTGTTTTTTTGTTTTTTTTTCCTGCTCTGTTGAGTACTGATGTACACGTGCTGTTATATGGTTGCTCTTTTGGGGGAGTGTAATTCGCTCATTGCGACTTTTCCGTTTGATACTGCCCAGAAAACGGGCCTGGTTCTGGACCTCTCGGAATATTTTCTTTGTACGGCACTCGCCTAATGAGCGCTGCCCGAACATCGTACTCCGTATTGTGAGTCAGCCTTAAACGTAAGCGTGCCCTCATCTTTCGATTACAAACTAAAATGTAATCAGCCTATAAATTTAGCGTTAGGTAGTGATCCATTAGTTTTGTACATGACTCAACAATATCATGTGTCTTCTCTCAGTGCCAGGCTGAAGAGTTAAATTAACATACATCAGTAGGTTTGTCACAATAACACTTATCCACTGTCCTGTGATTATTTGTATTCTCGTTGTTTTAAGGTTCCCTTGCTTAGCCGTCTAGATCTGATAAACCAAGACTGAGAAGCCATGTGGGTGGGGCCAATTAACTAATCATGCGATAATTTTCAGTACGTTCGTCATTCAAACAACAATACCGACTCCGTCTGCGGCAGGAAATATTTAGACTAATATAGTGTTATTGAAAACTTTTACTCATCAACATTAGGAAGTGAAATGTAAAGTGGAATGCAGAAAGTTCGATGAGTAAACGCTAGGGGTTATATGTCATTAGATGCACCCACTGACATTGTTTAAATGTATTGATCCAGACAATCAACGTATTCTAAAATGCTATAAGGACTTCATTGATATATATTGAATTCTGACACAAAGATGTTGGAATTAAACTTGAACTTATTCAGTTCTATGAGACATACAGTTTTGTGACGCGATTGGTCAGAACTTTGTGCTCCAGTCATTTACCTTTGTTAACGCAGCGAATTCTTTGTTTCTTCTGCCTATATTTTTATTTGCGTGTTCCAAGACGTTGAAGTCTGGCCTTTCTTACTTTTCGCGCTGGAAAACCGCGCACTACCACTGCAATATAAACAATTGGGGCACAGATCAATGTTGAAACCCGGGTGAGCAAAACCTTCAAGCTATAAAAGCAGTCCTAAACTACGGTCGACAAAATACTGCCGAGTAACCAAGTGTGTCGAAAAATATGTATTTGCCTTACCCCCTTACATTTATTTGATTTTGAATTATTTACTTTTTTTTAGCTCTTTTGGTCTTCATTACTTACACGATATACATATATATAAATCTTGTGAATAATTCTTGATAAATTTGTCATCACTTTAAACAAGGCAGTTTGTGTAAAACCCTGTTAACCTCATTACGTATGATCATCTTTCAGACACGAAAAAAACACAAAAAAACCGGCGAGGATAAACAATACGTCGATATCCTGAACTCTTATTCAGAATTGTAATTTACGAAATCACCATGTGAGTGGCTTTTGAAGCATTTCTCTTCGGCTTGCTATTTTTCGCTAAGACAACACTCATAGAAGGCTCTAGATATATCACTTATATTTTGCTTAAGAACAGTACAGACAAGTAATTGAGACATGTAATGATATGCCAGGTATCAAAACTCTGGTTCAAGTGGCGAATAAGCTAAACATTGAAAAACCAGAATTGCGAACTGCCCTTGGTAAATCAACTAAACAAGGGCATCATCTTTCCTCCTCATAGCCGAGTTTAAAATCGTGCAAAAATTTGAACAGGTGCAGTCTAAATTGCAATAGGATACAGCCCTCTGAACGCATACCTTTCCGTTCGCACCTTTCACAGTTTACTTCGATATGCGGTTTTATCAGCATTGCAATCTGCTTTTCACTTCACCGATTGGATTACGCTATTGACGGTATTGCTTTAAAGGGCGGGTACAGAATTCTTACTTTGATGCCGTGTATATAAGGCATTAGGACCTTCTACACTGCCACCATTTCCACTTAACTTCAAGAGGAAAAGAATCCACCATGTTCTCCAAGGTGGGAGAGTCTAACACAAGCTCGTAGCTGCCTTGGATTTCAAAATTGGCAGCCTCTTACTCGCGTTTTCTGTGACTGGAATAACAACGCCCTGTTTACTTCCAGGTCCTTGTGTGCTGCCTCTTCGCCTACGTGGCTTGCGGAGTTGTTGTGGAACATGTGAGTAGGGCCGGGGAGTGCCTAGCATTTTGGAAGTACCTACTTAATTCACGAATACCTCTTCGCACTGTCGATATTTCTTTATATGGATTAACGTAGCTATTGTAACCAGGATACGCAAATCAAAATCTTGCATTTCGTTTTTATGCACTCAGGTGGAAGTTAGGTAGCCCTCCAAATGTAAGCAGCGAAGTCATAATGACGTTGGTTCACCACCAGAACGCGAAGACACTTCGCAATGCTGTATCACAGACGCAATGACTTCCTTATCAAGCACGATATTGCTATTTCCAACTACGCCATATGAAGTAGAAGGGCTTATAAGTAAAATTAAAAATAATGCCGCAGCTGGCGTAGATGACTTCAAGCCAAGGCCTGTCAAATATGTCTCCCAACAAATATCTTATATCTTGTCACATGTAATCAATCTTACTCTAGAAACTGGAATATTTTCTAACGAACTAAAAATTGCAAGAGGTACTCCAATCTATAAGGGTGGCGGGGAACACCTTCTACAGAATTAGAGACCAATCTCGGTTTTGCCAATTTTTTCAAAAATATTCGAAGGGGTTATAAAGTCTAGATTAGACAATTTTTTCCAGGAACAATGTATTAAACAAATGTCAATATGGCTTTCAAAAATCTAAATCAGCAGAGCAGGCACTTGTAGAAGTAAAGGATAAAATTATAAGCAATATTGAAAATAGATTATACACCTTAGGCTTATTCCTAGATTTTAGAAAGTCCTTCGATACGATCCAACATGACATATTACTAATTAAGCTTCAAAGGTACGGCATACGTGGGGTTGCTTTGACTTTAATATAAGACTACGTCCAAGATCGCATGCAGTATGTTTATATTAACAACAATTATTCTAATTCACTCAAAATGAAGTACGGTGTTCCGCAAGGGTCTATTTTGGGCCCGCTCTTATTTCTTCTTTATGTGAATGATATCACAATTATTCTGGGATCCCCTGAGCTGGTCATGTACGCAGACGACACTAAGGCGTTTTTTGCTTCAACCTCTAAAGCGGTCTTAGAATCTATGAGAAATAATTAACTAGACAATCTATCGGCGTGGCTTTAAAATAATAAACTACAACTAAACGTGAAAAAAACAATATATATAATTTTTACTCCCGTTAATAGGTGCGACAACACTAAGGTGACAATATATTTCGGAAATGAAATTATAAAGGAGGTTACAGAACAAAAATTTCTTGGTGTGTGGTTCAATCGGGAGTTAAGTTGGAACACGCACATAAATAAACTGAGCTCTGAGCTATCCCGAGCCATCGGATGTATTTATAAAATAAGAAATCTCATACCTTTGTGGCTAAAAAAATATATACTACGCTTTATTTTATTCCAAACTGTGTTATTGCATTTTAGTCTGGGGCACGACATCGGCAACCAATTATAATAGGTTGATCATCTTACAAAAAAAAATTCTACGACTATTTGAAGATTATAAAGGTTAGCCTCAAGATCTCCCAACTAAACCGCTGTTCAACAAATATGGCCTACTTAAAGTGAATCAAATTTATTATTTTAAATTATTACTGATAATACACACAAAAAAACTCTTCGCAATTCCGTCAGAAAACACAACGTATCACAGACTTAGACATAGAATCAGACGACCTCCAAAAATACGCACCAATTACGGAAAACAAACGACATGCTTCCAAGTCGCCAAAATCTTGAATAATACAGAAGATCTAATAGATTTTAACTGCAATATCCTTCAATTCAAAAAAAGACTAAAGACACTTCTGGTGGGCAGTGACATTGTGTTATGATATATGTGTACTGTGTACTTATTAAATCATGTCCATATTTCACTTTTGAATTGTTAAAACATGTTCCTGACTAATTCGTTTTTATTTTTCTTTGCCGAGAAAAAATTATTGTGGGATAATTGATCGATCCTGTTTTATATTGTTTCTCAGTTGTATAGAATTTTAGAGATTCTTTTCTCTTAATTTTCGTGTTCAAAAATCTATGTACCCCGCACTGCTGTGTTAGAACTGTAAAGGGGACAGAGACCTCGTCAGGCATCACGCATTTAGTCTCTGCCCACCTCCCGGTCAATCCAGAAAGAAAGGAAATAAAGAAAGAAAATATAATTCAATGTAAAGTGCTTAAGGAATATAAAATATATGTGTACGCCAGCTTTCAATTATTACGGACGAAGCTTCTAAACTGTTGAAATCTTAAACGCGCTACTAAAAAACAACTTTCTTTCTTTCTTTTTTGTGGCAATTACCGTGTTGAATTTTGATGCACCTGAGATTGGGAAAAATGGAAAATAACTTTATTTGCCGAACGGAAGGCGTTCGAATTTAAGCCTTTCCTGCCAATAGTTCAACCATTCCGTTGGATATATTTTTATTGCAGTTATGCTTCAACTATTCACTTTAGCTTTTCTTTGCCAAACACAACTACGTCATGTTTCAACATGGCAACCGTCACACAAAAAAGTTCGAAGTTTACAATATTTAGTAAAATCAGCGCGCTTACTTCTATGGATTACCTACGGATTTATTTATAACCCGTTTGTCTTCAAAAGCTAGTCAACTCAAATATTTTCAGCGTTATACAGGCTATTGTTTTACTTACTATAAATATTAATTAGGTCTCGATCCTTGTATTAACACTTTTCCTTTTATTTAATCGCAGCACCCACCCCAGCCTTACAGCTTCGGCTATGACAACGTCGACGAGTTCGGCACCCGCATGACCCGCCAGGAAACCGGAGATGAGTTCAACAACAAGGTCGGCTCCTACAGCTACGTTGATGCCCTCGGTGTCACTCGTCTGGTAAAGTACGTCGCCGACGCCACCGGCTTCCACCCTACTGTCGAGACCAACGAGCCAGGAACCAAGACCTCGGTCCCAGCGGACGCCCCGTTCTTCTCCAGCGCCGTTGAGGGCCCACACCCGGTCGTTGTCAAGGCTGCCCCAGTGGCCGCTGTTCACGCCGTTCACGCTGCTCCAGTTGCCGTGCGAGCCGTTCACGCCGCCCCAGTGGTGCACGCTGCTCCCTTCGCCTACGCCCACCACGCTCCTCTCGCCTACGGTCTTGCCAAGCACTTCTAAGATATTAAAAAAGTAAACTCCAATTAATCGCTTGGCACTCCCTTTTTGTGGGCTCGGTTTGAGATATTATTGAAATAACTGCTTCCAAGGTGAAAGCTGCTTATACATGCAGCACTTCAATGCTAGACTCTATTCGAAAAACTCCACCTTTAGCGCGAGCTTTCCGCCCTGTAATATATACTGTGAGCACGCAGGCACGCGCATCCAAGGGATAGCGGGAGCCAGCGAGCTCGCACTGAAAACGGAGCTTTTAGCCTCAGCTTATGGTTGAAGAGATTATAGTCATGAGCAGAACTTTCCTCTTTGTTTATATTAGTGAAATTGAATATGAGCTAGGCAGATATTCATTGTCACTTCAATAAGAACCCATGCGTCTACGTTCCCATAAAGAAAGAGCTCATGGATCCAAGCAGACTGATGTAGACGGGGGTGGAGAAGTGACAGGCCCCCCAAAAAAACGCTTAAATCCGAATGACATCTGCGCTGTCACTCAATGTGACACTTCGTAAACTCATGCCATTCCCCATGAGATCATTTCGCAGTAATTGGCTCTAGGATTACCGTGGGCAAAACATGGGCCCATCTACATTTTTCAGTGTTCGGTGTTAAGCGATGCACTGAAGAGAACACAAATATTCAAAAAGCGTCCGAACGTCTACATTATTTTACAGACCGTACATTCAGCGAATTACTGTAAACTACGGGACATGTTCAGTGAAATTCGAGATGCAAATATCAGATTGGATCAAAAGCTCGATCTACAGGGTGATTCAAGGAGAGGCCGGGCTCTTTACATCGACCGCAAAATTCGGTTTCGTAACCTATCGCGCCACGACTTTGTGCAGCGTTGCCCACAGATGGTGCATTATATTGTAAAATTTGCCAAGAGCGAACTTACCTGAGGAAAAAGTGAAGAAAGAAAAAAAGTTGAGCTCCTCTGGAAAGGCAGCGACACCACCGGTCTTCAAACAACATGGCGCCGTTTCGCACGGGAGACAAGAGATGGCGCAACGAACGCCGCCAACGAACGAGCATACGGCGCCGAGAGCCAGCGTGTTTAGTAGACGATCTTTTCGACTAAGAAAGGGCGCGCGTTCCGCAGGCGGCGACAGCCGCAGAAACAAAAACAGGCGCGGTAACAACAAGGAACTGCAGTTCCTTGTCTGCTAAAGACGCAGGCTCTCGGCGTCGTATGCTTGTTCTTTGGCGGCAGTTGGCGTCGCGACCGCTTGCGCCATCTCTTGTCTTCCGTGCGAAACGGTGCCGTGCTGTTTGTTCACAGTGTTGTTTGTTTACACTGGATAAGTTAACACTTATCCAGTGTGAGCAATATTCGAGGCGCCACAACCTCGAGGTGAAGGGAATTCCAAAGACTTAGACGGAAAGCGTCACGGATCTGATAATTCAGATCTGAAGTCTAATTGGAGAGCAAATTACCTTGACCGACATCAAAACTTGCCACCGCGTTCCGATTAGGGAGATGACGAAAAGTAACTGAACATAGTTACAGTCGCGAATACAGGGACAAGGACAGAGGAGAGGAACACGTAGACGACAGACAGGGGCCCGAGTTGGTATTTCACGAAATACCAACTCGCCCAAGTGTCTACTCTACTACGAAAAGTAACGTCATAGTCCTATTTCAAAGGCAGCAAAAACGAGACACTGTTCTCGATAAGGCAAAGAAAAGAAGGATTACATGTGAGGTCCTAGGTCTTCCAGATACCACGCCTTTTTACGTAAGCAAGCATTTATGCCCCACCCTGAAAAGACTACTTGGAATAGCAACGTCACGGAAGCGTGAGATGCAATGGCGATACGTTTGGATGAAAAATGCCAAGATACTTGCTCGTAAGGCAAGGAATGCCCCAATCGTTACCATTTCCGATGAAATAGATCATGATAACATCTGCTAGCCGAAAGCTACTTTTATGAAAACTTCAATGTTTGATTTTTTTTCCCGATATGACTGGAAATCTTGGAATGGTGACACTAGAAGTCCTAAACCGATATTTAAAACAGCGGACTAATAGATCATTGAGCTTATTTCCCCTAAATGTGCAATCCAGCAGATTAAAAGGCAAAGACCCACGTTGGTTTTTGAGTGACAAGATACCATTTTTGATGTTGTCATGCTCACCGAAACGTGGTACAGAGATGATGATGCTTTCTTTGTTCTACCGGATTAGTCATTTTGTCCTTAATCGGGGTTACCGTCGTGGTGGCGGTGTGTCGCTGCAGACTAGTGTTTCTGGATTTGAGCTGCTCAGCAATTATTCTATTATGACGCCGGACTATGAAGCACTTTGTATGAAAAAATCGTGACATCTACTCAGTTTTATACCACCCACCTACTGGAAACGTTGCCTTCTTAATTAGCTTCCTAGAAAATGTATTTTATTTGGTCAATGATGAAAGATATCAGTTGTTCCTCGGTGGCGATTTCAATATAAACATGTCAGAAGACTCTCGCCTCAAAGATGAATTGATTGTTTTACTGATGTCTAATAGTTTTTGTAATGTGATCATACCGCCGACACGATTACAAGCTCATTATCAATATTGATCGATCTTTTTGTGACCAACCATGATGAGAGCAATATCACCGCGGGTGTTCTTATTTTTGGGCTAAGTGATCACCTTCCAATATTCATGTTTGTAATCAAAATATTTCACTAAAAGAAACTGTTAGACCTCCTTTAATATTACAAGACATAACACATAAGAAATTCAAAGAAAACATTATTACTATTGATTGGAGTCATGTGCTGCGGTCTAATGATGTCAACGAATGCTATGACCTTTTCTTAAACGAACTGAAACGTGGCTATTGCACAGCGTTTCCATACAAAACAATTTATGTCAACAAAAAGTCTCGAAAGCCCTAGATCAGGAGACAGCTCTTGAAACAAATTAAAAAAAGAAATCTTCTGTATGATTCCTTTCTTAAAACTCGAGACGAAGTAAAGTTGCGTGAATTTAAACAATTTAGAAACTTCGTAAATACTCTGTTAAAACGTGCAAAATAACGTTATTTTGCTGCCAAATTGAATGAGTTGTGTTTTAGGCCGCCCGAACTTATGTGGTAGCGTTTGAACTACTTAATGCGGAGCCCGAACCACGACGGTATTGAAAGCATGATCATTAATAATAGGGAAGTATCCGGTACCGAACTTAGCAATTCAATGACTATTTTGTAGGTGTGGAATAGAGTACTTCTAACAGTACAGCCATAAATACATTTAGCACCGGCAACGAAATCATTGTTTTTAAATCCTACTGATGAAGGCGAAGCTTTCCCCACATATATGAACATAAAAAATAGCCGTAGTGCTGACTGTGAGGATCTCCAAATCAGACCTGTGAAATTTGTCTTGGATTTGATACTTCCATGCTTAACTCATTTGCATAATCTCATATTATCATCCGGTATATTCCTTAAGAGGATGCAGGTGGCTAAAGTTTCTGTTCTTTATAGAAGTGAGGATAGGAATGATCTGAGTAAAAACCGTCTGATTTCCATCTTTCCAATTTTTTCGAAGCCCATTGAAAAAATCATGTGTTCTCGACTTTTCAATTTTCTGGGCAAATACACCTTGTTGACGGAGTCGCAATTCGGTTTTGGGAAACATATATCCACAGAAACAGCGTTACTTGTACAGAAAGAAATAATATTAGACAATTTTGAGAATAAACTTTTAACTTTAGGGATCTTCATAGATTTTAGCAAAGCGTTCGATCAAATAAACCACCAGACTCTTCTTTACAAGTTAAAAAGTTACGGTATACGTGGTAGTCCCTTATCACTTTCTGGCGTCCTACCTACAATATCGCCACGAATATGGTCAGATTGGAAACTCGTCATCCAACATGCAGCGCATTTTCTCTGGGGTTCCACAGGAAAGCATATTAAATCCCCAGTTGTTTATTATTTACGTCAATGTTATTGCAAAGATAGAAACTTCCGCCAAGCTGATTATGTATGCAGATGATACTAGCATTTTTTTTCTGACTCAAGGGATGACACTCACTTCCAAAGGAAACTATTTTTTACGCATGTTAAAACACTGGGTCACCCTAAATTCTCCGTCTAATAACCCAACCAATACAGAAGCAGTCCTTCTTAAATGTTCAGGATCACGGATCGCATTGTCCAGTGATTTGTACTTTGGGACAAATATAGTAGAATGCATTGACAGTGTAAAGATCCTCGGCGTTGTGTTCTCAGAACACATGTCGTAGTATCCCCATGTTTTTTACATACTTAAAAAACTTTGTAAAGTAGTAGGGATAATGAACAAATATGAGAAAGTAATTCCTGCGACTATAAAAAATAATATATAATTTCCTTTTTCATTCAATTCTTTGTTATTGCCATCTGGTCTGGGGGACAACAACAAAAAGTAACTTTGACAGGTTGAGGTGAACGCGAAAAAAAAAGAAAGCAATAAGGGTGGTTCAAAATGTCCCACGTGATTATAGTTCTATTCCTTTATTTATAAAGCATAAAATACTTGACGTATCCAACATTTACTCTAATAGATTAACTGTCACATATTATCGTGCCTCAAGAGAACATATTACAGTGATTTTTGACTTCGCTAAACTTTAAAATAATCTATCATTATATCTCTCACGTCATTGGCATCCATGTCGAATCCCATCATCTAGAACTAATTTTGGCTTCCAGAGGTTGAGTTAGAGATTACCTTCACTGTTCAACACCTTATATTCCCAAGAAGTTGATTCACCTTCATTAAATGCCCATACAAATCAGGCTTTCTTTTGCTGAGTGAAAATGATTCTCTTATGTTTATTATACCTTCTACTTCAGTCTGTCTTGAGGCGCAACCTATTTTCAATGACACTTATTTTATAATCTTTATAATCTTCGTGTCTGGAGGTGAGTGTTGGTAAACTTTCGTTAGATGTCCGTCAAACTTAAAATTTCCTGTAATAAATAAAATCTTCATTTTCTGTATGTTATATCTATCTATTTAAATGCGTATTGAGAT